CTGGCCCCAGCTAGTGGGCAAACTCCCATACAGGTGCTCACTCACTTGCCCACCCCCAGCAGGAGAGGGAGAAAACAGGAAGGACAGCAGTGGGTCCCTGACCCCTTCCCACAGAGGCCACCCCTGCTATCAAAACCTTCCCACCTACACCCAATACAGTGGTGCTGAAACTAATTTGTAAGATAGAACTTTACGGTCTCTGGCAGTTACCCTGCAATTCTGTATAAACACCTTCACATTAAGTTTTTGAAGTCTAGGATGACTTACTGTTTCGGCATTTGCTGTTTTGATTGAATCTGTTAAACGTAGCTAGTGCGCACAGTGATTCTCACCTGGAAATGCAGCTTGCTTAGATATAGCCAGTTCATTGCGGTGCAATGCCTGTAAAATGCTCCTGATATAAATGAGTTTTTCTGGCATTTGTCTGCCTTTCCTTTTGTGAATGACAGTTTTCACTATTCTGAAACTAGTCTCACTGGATTTCAACTCTGGTTGCAAGATTTTGTATTGATGGTAGTATATCAAAGGTTTATGCCTTTCATCATCTCTGTTAAAAAGCTACACTTTTTTGACTTTTTTTTTCCCTTGGTGAATGTTTTTGTTACCCTACTTTTTGCAAATCTTTTTCGTATTTGGTCATATTTTATGGAATAATTAGAATAGTATAAAAAACATTTTATTTTATAGCATTGTGCAAAATTGCATGTTTGTAAACAATATCTTCAGCTTTTTAAATATTTCCCAGTTTATTTTCAGAACCTTTCTACGTGCTCTTTGTTTACATCAAAATTCAATGAATAGTCTAGTCTTTCTGTATGTACACCCTGATTTTTATCGGCATATATATCTGTTATACATGGCTTGTGTCAGATGCTGTGAACTAACTATTCTTTTCAGCAATGAGAATCTGAAAAGTATCTTAGCAAATCAGCTGATCACATCCTGTGAAGCAGGATTTGAGTCTACAGCTAAAATGGGTAGCTGCAGGGCTTTTAGTATTAGACTCTAAATTGCAATTTCCTGTTTTGCAAAATCACATTCATCCTTTACAGCTTCACTAATACTCTCTTCCAGGGTTTTCCCCTTGCTTTTTAATATCCCCTAACTATTGCATTTTATCAAGTTCCCGTGCAAGTTTGGTATTAGGCAAATGATGCTGTTTTTATCTTCTGCAATTTATCAGAGTTTGAACTATTTTTAATCCTGACATTCACTGTGATTTCTCTTATTTTTCTTTGACATATTTATTAAACCAATTATATGTATCTCATTTATATTAAACATAAATTACTTCTTGAATGAGAAGACAAAGATCTTTATATTTCTACTTTGCTTTGTGTTGGCAGAAGCATCCAGAGCACGTTGGTTTTTCTCCTGTTCTGAGCAGTGGTATACATTCACAATACAGTTTAATCATGAAATGAAAAATTAATAAATATATCATGGGAGAAACAAATTAGCTCTAATTTGTTACCTAAGCAATCTCCTGGCTTCCAGGTAGTCAGAGATTTGAACTCCCAGAATGGATTATTTTCTTATTTTCAGGAGAAATGAATGGATAGGGAGCTATAGTCCTAGTCCAACTTACTGATAAGTACAGTTGAGCAAATAGCACTGAATAGAAATGTTAGCAACAATTATATGCCTATTGCTGTAATACAGAAGCATATTCAGAACTGCAGTCCCACACTGAACATCGCCAGCACTTCTCCCAGCAGTGTGGCGGTACTGCCATATCTCTGTTAACCTCTGCTGAAGTCTGAGCGCCAGGGATCCTGACCAGCCACCCAGACCCCCCTGCATCTCATCATTATATTATGCTCCTCTCAAAAATGCTGCTGATACATGTCAAAATTGTGTTGTACTGGCTTAGTTGGACAAGGGCTAAACATAAGTTATTTGCAAGTATGGACAAGGTTAAACTATTAATGTAACATCCTGAAAGCAATGGACCCTTGCAAAGATGAAAAGTATGGTAAGACTACCCTTCCGAGAAAAACCCTCAGAGCTGGGTACCATGGCAAAGAGTCAGTTCATTGAGAGCTTTTTCCCCTCCTCCTCATTGAGTAACTTTCAAAAGAATACGTCCACAGTTACACTACTAAACATGAAATCATATAGAAGTACTGAATGCTTATGCTTTATAACATACAGCGTTTTCCAGAGATAGAGAACGACAGGTGAAATGTTTGTAGCATCACACAGCTGCCTTCATGCCACATCTGAAGGCTCTTGGAAAAGAAGTCAGAACAAAGCAGCTCACTTGAAAGGAGTGAATTGTTTTGATATCCAACATAAACTCAGTGTTGCTGCTTGAGTTCAGGAAAGTGTCCTTCCAGGACACACAGCTCTGTAAGTGTCTGTTCTAAAGTGTCTGTAAATTATTTTGAAATGTGATATGTTGACCATGCTGGGACAGATTTCTGAAGTAGATGAAGGGTTTGATTAGTTTGGGCCAATCCCCATATTCTTGATCAAAACTTCCTACTTGGTACTCTTCCCATAAATAAAAAAAATTGAGTGCACAAGATTTGAATTTTATTCATATTCATTACTTTGTACCCTTCAGCCTTTCTGTGAAATTTATGTCACCACTGACTTTTGTTCACTTTCTTACATTTAAAAAAACAAATTAAAAAAATTCTCTTCAACCAGAGAACAGAAAGAGATTAACTAATGTGCATAAACCAGCACTAGAAATCATTGACTTGTCTTAATTTTAAAGCCTGGTGATTCTCTTTTAAAAAAAAAAAAAAAAAAAGAAAAAAGAAAAAAGAAAAAAAAAAGAAAATGCTCCCTTTTTTTAAAGTAATGAATGGCTGATTATTCAGAGACTCTGAAAAGTCTCCAGGCCTTTTGCTCAGGTAATTTTTTCTTAAATTCAGTGATCTGGATACTCTGTATTAAGCTACTCTGGTTTGTCCACCCCTTTTGTCCTCTCCAGTGACTTTAGGGTTTTCCTGCAAGCTTGTAAGGATGTTTCCAGCAATCTGGATTTGGTCTCAAGTTCTGTAATCAAATTGTTATGCTTTCAGTTCTCTTTAATTTTTTGGTAGTCACTCGAGCTTGAACATTAGAATCTGTACCCTGCTTACTGTGCTCTTACAGTGTACTTTCATAGCATGGAGAGAGGCTGTCTCATGAGGGGTAAAAAATAATGGTGTTCTTGTCATAAGCTCTGAGAAGACTTGCAGATGTAAGATGTCTGCTGTGTTTTAGTTAAAGCCAACAATAACATGAAGCTGCATCCACTGAGAAACAGGTAAAGTCAGAACAAGAATTAACTGCCCTGTGTAGTCTGGTTTCCATCTCTGCGTCTGACTTATGAGAGCCATTCATAGTCTGTCTTTATACTTAAATAGATACCACAAATAAAAGATGCTAATTAAAGCTATGTACTCCATACTTTTGCTTCTGCTTGTACCTTTCTTTTCAAGACTTTAAATGTAAAAAATGATAGCTCTACTTTGATAAGAAGCTGGCACAGGACAGAGTTTTCTTCCAGTGTATTTTTCACCTTAAATTTTTGCCATTCAAAATTTTGTCTGAAATTCTTAACTTTCTGCTCATGCTTTATTGCCCAATCATTTCAGCTTAAAGCTTCATTTTTTTATTTTTTTTTTTTTTAAGATTTGTGAGATATACCCTTCACTGAAAGTTTAATAGAACTGGACTGATTAAGAAAACAGTCTAAGAAGCCAAGAAATTAAATCTAAGTATTTTTGCAACATAATTACCCTTTTCTGAGTTCAGAGGTAGATATTTAGCCACCTTGGAGCACCTGTGACAGCTTCACTGCTAAGTAAAATAAGATTTAAAACATGTAAACTACTTTTTTATTATTTTAATAATGCAGGAATTCTAATGTCAGTCATCTTCATTGGAGAAATAGAATAGGATTTTTCATTATTAAAGCATGAATTACCTACTTGTTTTCTGGGTTGAGATTCATCATTCATATAGTTTGGAATATTTGTTTTCAGTAAAGACAGAGTATTCTCTTCAAAAAGAGCATATTTGAAATCCTTCTCTTGGGGACATTGCATGTAACTTTTTCTTCTGGGTAGTTTGTGCTGTCTTCTGAAGTCTGTAGTTTTGCTGTGCTAATAACCCTTTTGCTCAGATTTGTAGGGTTTTTTATGTCCTAGATGAATAAAATTCACATGTAAAATTTACTTTGTGCTTGTTTGGTGCACAGCTTAGTGTTCTAAGGCGAGTGCAATGAAGGAAGAAGCCTCAGTTACATGTCCTATGTATTAACAATTTAGGGAAACATATCCCTGTCTCTTCCTTTCTTTGTTTTCCCCCTTAGGAGTGTAGGGCAGCGTGTGCATCTGCTCCCAGGGCTGGGGACTAGTTGTACAAATGCATTCACTTTTGCATTGACCAACACAATAACTCAGTAACTGTTGAAAGTAGGCTCCAGTGCCACAATGTTCTGCCTTTAAAAGATAACAGAGAAAAAGAGAAATTAATAACAGGAGCCAAGGTGCCTTCATTTCCATTCAGACAAGTGCTGTACACAGCAATCACTAAAGAGCAGAACTGTTAGTCTCACTGTAAGTACATCTTGCATTTTGGATATGTGGCTGTTGACCTGCCTTAGTTCTCAACAAAGACCTCTGATTTCAGAATTGGATGCTTGGGTTTTTACAGTGATGCATTAATAGTAATAATCATTAAGGTAACAAGAAATGAATTTGTTCTTCCTGGCTTCATGATACTGTACTACAGTCTGAAGTTAGCTAGGAGACTCCCCTCCCCTTTCCATTGTTGTGTGCGGCTCCCCGATTGTGTGTCCCAAACCTTTGATGTTAGCTGCTAACATCTGGATATGACTATAAAATAATTCCTGTTAAATTTTGTAAATTTTAGTTCTGTTCCTCTGATAGATAGGTACATAAGGAACAATATGTGTAAAACGGTCACTGAAGTTCCCAACCGCCTAAAGTATGTGAAATCATGTAGTCATCGTTACTGTGCTGTGTTCTCTTTTCTAGTTTCCAAATAAAACAGTAGCCCAAGTTGCCTGCAGTATGCTGAACATGCTGTTACATTATGTACATAGACTTCAAGTGTATCAAGCTGATTCACCTTTAAGAATTATACAAGTAAGTAATTTTTTAAAATTTGACATTTTTTTTCTTATAAATGCAACAGTAAAATGTATTTCTGCGAAATTAAAATACCAGAATATTTACAAGTCTGTTTCACAGAATGTTGAATTAGTATAAATATAATCTTACTGAACGTCAACAGTAGGCGTTCATGTGACACTTACTTGCTGACTCCAATATTAGCATGTGAAATGGCTCTATCATGCTTATTTTTTCTCAGATGCAACTATGTTATTATATATATGAGAATGTTGACAATAAAGTCAAAATTTTTAAAAAATATTAAATATCTTAAAATATTTTTATTTAAGTTAGTGATGAAGTAGTTACTTAAAATACAAATCTACAATTGTATTTTGCATATCTGTATATATGAAAAACATATAACACTTTCCATTAAAGTGTTTCAGTATAAAGCAAAAGTAATTTTTTTGAATACACGTTAAATAACAAGGAAGTAGACTATGGCCTCTGTGAGTCTGAACCACAGAGAAAAGATTGCAGACTCCCAGGTAACCAGAAAAAGAATTGTGTGGAACCTTCTCAAAGGATATAGCAAGCATTTCTCTGCTCCTCTGCAGTCATCTTGTTGATTAAGTAGAGGCAAGATGTTTACAGATTCTAGTAGTTCTGAGAAATAATGGAGCTCAAATAGCCCCATACACAACCCCACATCAGACTCCTTCCTGCACCCTACAAGTGAGTTGAATCAAATTCTCTTTATGCATGAATATTTGGAGTAGTTGTGTAATTTCATTGTCCATAATGCACCTACATCAGTCAAGCAGAACATATTCCATTGATGTCTTCTGTGCAATTCAATTTAAAAGATTTTATTTTTTAAAAAATGTGTCAAGGAATAGTGTAATTTGTCTTAAAATAGCTTCAATAGAATTTAACCATAAATCTATTATTGTGTCACATTTACCCAGTTAAAAATTTATTTTAAACTTAAATATTTAAATATTTTCAAATTATGCTATATTTTCCCCAGATTCTCATAGCAACTATTACCCATCTGCTACCCAGTACAGAAGCTTCCTCTTATGAACAGGACAAGAGGGTAAACATTTTTCATTTATTTTTAATGTGTTAATTTAATTGGAAAGGCATTTGACATAGCATTTGTGCAAATATTTAAGCTGTACCTTTAAGTAGGGATTCACCTCTTTAGGTATAATATAGTCTTCTTAGAATTCCAGCAATATTCCTTATACAAGTGATTTTCTGAAGTTTTTGTAGGAAAATATGCATTTAAAATTAATTGAGATTGATTGTTTTCAGTAATTGGAAAGTCTTCTTTTTCTTTATCCTCAGTGAACATACAAGCAAATGAAGTAATGTAGACTTTTCAGACTTGTCTTACAGTCAAAATATATTCACAACTTGTAGAGAATACCTTTCAAAATATTTATAAGATTATGTTTTTTTCACTTTCTATCCTAAGTACATTCTTGAGCAAGATAGCCTGTAATCTTCAGATGAATTTGATTGTTGTCATCCTCCAAAACAATTGGCATCTATTCGTATTTTCAGTGAACCTGAGTCCCGTAGCTAAGACAGGCTCTTTCTTCACCTGATACTCCCAGTAGTACTTTCTGCCTCCTGAAAGCTGTGTGTCATCTTAATTATTTGGCTTTGCCCTGGGACTGTGGGGGACAGTGGTCATTTAAACTTGGGCGCTTTGGTGCAGTTTGTTGCTGACAGGGCTGTGGGTCTGAGCCGCCCGTTCCCACGGGAGCTGGCATTCATGGCAGGCTCGGTTGGGCCTCCAGAGCTCCGTTTGCCTCTCCTCTCTGCTTGCGAGGAGGCAGTGTTGCTGTATCCTGACTACAGCAGTATACCAAGCTAGCCATCTTTCCACTTGAGGTGCTGCCCATAAATCAGTAAGTTTCCCTGTGAACTAATGCTGATCATTGTACGTCAAATATCATACCAAAACTTGGCTTACCTAGTTTGGCAAACTTAGGCCTAATGGGACTTAAAAGTATCTTAAAAGTTGGTTTAATATAAGAATACTCAGAGCCCTTCACCATTAGGTTTATCATGTGGTCCTCTGAGAGACAAACTTGTATTGTGTGAAATAAGTGTGAAGTTTATATGATATTTCTTAGTAAATTAGTTAAGTGGATTTTCTTTGAGAGGTTTTTGTGTGACTTGGAAAATATTTTAGAGAGTCTTGCAGCTATTTATCTGAATTGTTTCTTTTTCCACAGCTAAGCTTTATAAATTAAAAATAATTATTTGAAGCCAGTAAGTTATTAATAATTTGGTGTGTATGTGTGTCTTAATCTAATTCTGCTCTACAGTCTTTAAAAACATCCCCTAGAGGGAGTTGGTTCTTTTGCTGACTGAGTAGCCTACAATACAGAAAGCGTTTAGATTTCTTTCGGATGGCTCCTGGTGCTGCGTAGCGTTATTGACATGTCGTGGAGGAAATCCTGTGTTATTTCTAAAGCACTAAATGCAGCTGAAATAGTTCAGTTTTGTGTGATATTTGATTCACTTTACAATGAGATTTATGTGCAGAATGGTGCATCAGCATTAATTCATACCTGTTAAAAAACTGCACCCCACAAATCAGTTTTGAAAAATCATAGGTATCCTCATAAGTACAGTGTCTGCTCACAGACTTACCATGATGAGAAACTGTTGTATGGATGGTCTTTGTTAAATATCTCAGTAGCCTATGTTTTTACTGATGCTGTAGGTTTTAAAGATACAGTGTGTTTTAAACAAGTGTGACCTGCAGTTACTGCAGAAGGTTGACTCTACTGAATTGAGAAAAGAAAGTGAAACAGAGAATTAAAATACAGTGATAAATGCGAAGTAGCAGATGCTGTTTCAATTGATTTGTAACTGAAAGTATTTGTTCCAGTTGGTGGTTTCTTTACTTCTTTGCTTATTGGATTGGATAATGGCCTTGCCATTAAAGACCTTGTTGCAGCCTCTTCACGCTACAGGAGCAGAAAATGATAAGACTGAAAGATCCGTTCTTAATTGTATATATAAGGTACATGTTTCTTTACTCACTAAATGAGAATTTCTATGTATGGAGGTAGCATCAGTTTTCATGGAAATGAAGACAGAACTTTTCTGTAAGCTGGCCTCTGTTCTACTGCTGAAATACAGAGTGCTGTCTGTGTTCTTGTATGTTTTACTGTAACTGCTTGATCTTTGGTATGTTTGAAATTGTTAATTTTGTGTTGCATTTTGTGATGTTTAACCAAGTTATTTTTTGTATGCCATACTAGTAGTAGGCATTTGTGTGGTAGAAGACCAGCTATACATTTAAGACAAACAAGGAAGTAGCTTTTTTTATACCAAGCAATTTTATTTAGCAATAAGCAAAGTAAAAAGCACTAAGTTATAATTGCTGTCTGTAGGGACACAGAACAAAGAGAGGTTTGGGGTTTTTTTTTTGCAAGGGAAGGGGATTAAAACCTCCAGCAGCTTAGACATAGCATATGTAATTAAAGGATAGGAGATCTAAAAATAAAGGTAGCTTAGTGATTTATTGTAAGTTTTGTTTCTTGTTTCTTTATTGTTAAATTCCACTTCAGTATAGACACTGTGTTAATAATGTAATTTGCAGACCAGGGTTTGTTTCTGTAAACATTAAACATCTAAAATTTTCCCTCATTTTGTCCTGCCTACCCGGTTCTAACAGGTCAATTTAAAAATGTAAAAAACTTCAATTTTTATAAAACTATCAAGCAGAATTTCAGTAGCTAATGTCATTAAATTCTGGTTTTGTTCTAGGTTCTGCATGGATGTGTCTACGGATCTCAGTGTTTTAGCAATCCTAAATATTTTCCTCTAAGCCTTTCTGATTTGGCATGTGTGGATTACGATCCTTTTATGCATTTAGAAAGCTTGAAGGAACCAGAACCACTACATTCTCCAGACTCAGAGAGGTCTTCTAAACTTCAGCCGGTCACAGAAGGTTTGTCACTCTGCCTAAATACATTTTCTTTCTAAAAGATTTTATCTTGGTTTCCAGTATTGAAGTATTTGTCTAAAGCATGGGTTTTAAATTATACCTAGACGCTAGGTAAGAACCATTAGTATGGAATGAGCTAACATAATTTTGAGCAATTACTGTTTGGATAACTGAAATAAGAGTCTTCTGAACAACTTGAAGATCGATTTGATATGGATTCGTCTGTTTTCTGTGTATCAGCAAAAAGTGCTAAGTACTGCAACATGAATAAATGTTGCTTTTCAGTTTGCTTTCAGTAAATTAATTCATGTGTTTCAGAATTTTGCTTCTTTTTCTATTAATATTTTGGGGTTTTTTTCCTGTCTGAGCTTGCAATATTGAAAGCTTTCAGTTAATATTTTATAGCCTATCATAATTTATTGTCAATCTGTTTTCACTGTTTAAAACCACAGAATTATCTAAAAAGAGAAATTTTCTCTCATCTGCTTAGAACCTTAAGAGACCCAGAATTAACAGTTTCTTCAGAAGTTGAAAATAGAAATAAAGAATCAAGGAAGTAAGCTGCAGAGGAGTAGTGTATATTATGCAGTGTATCTTGTAAATATCAAATGGCTACGTTGGGAAGAAAATTGAAAAAGACGAGATTAATACTGATAGCAGAAACTCTGTGTAGCGCTATTCTCCCTCCATATTAAGTTGTTCCATTTAGGCTTCCTTAAAGGTATTAAGAACTAGATAAATGCAGAAGCTCTTTGTAGCAGCTGTGTGCTAACAGCAGGTGATTTTGTGGTCTGTAGTGACTACGTGCTGTTTTTTATGTAGAGAAAATGGCTAATCATTGTGCCCTTGTCTAAGGCATGCTTCATCATCCTCAAGTACTTTTTTGGCCAAAGAATTCTAAACATAGAGCTGTCCTCTAATAAGCTCAGTATTGGATTGAACAAGTCTGATCTGAGAACTATTGGCAGGAGGAGCTGTAATTATTAAATTTACTGAAGAATGAAGCAAGGTACTATAGTTGGCTTTTTGTCAAATGGCTGTGGTCTTATTAGTAAAAAGTAATCATCTGCTGGGTCAGAATGAAAGAGGCTTCGAAGGATTCATTCTGTCCTAATTACAGTCTCACCTATACATATTATGTAAAGCTAATATTTAAAGCATTTGCCAAAATTAACTTCCACTGCATGTTCTATTACAGTGTAGTGAATTGTAGTGGCTTTTTATGCCTGGCATCTTTTGTATTCTGTAATAATCTGTAATTATGGGTTAGCAGCAAATGCTGTGTGGCTTGTTTAATCTGACAATCTGAAAAGACACCCCTGAATAGATTTCTCTTTAAATGAATGTAGTTGCACAAAGCCTTTGCATCGATATCTTCATTTTGCATTTCTGTACGTGATCTGTTCTTTTATGATTTCTTATTAAATTTCTAAATAAAAGTAATTTCAGATGTTCCTTTTATCTCTCCAGATGAATTAAGGAAGCCCCATATGTTTTTAAAGTTTCAGGGCTCTGGAATTGTAAGTCAGATCGTGAAATTTAATTGGCAAACTGCAACATTATAATGCAACCCTGGTCTTGCAACCTTGGCACTTCTAGTCCATATTGCCAGGCAGAGAGTAAAATTGGCAGTGCTTAACCGATTGCACAGCATCTGTTCTCCCTGGCCATTGTTGAGTGAAAGGAGTAAAGTTAGTGGATAAAAACCTGTCTGGGATTCAATCAAGACAGGGGATCAATTAATGCAAGCTAGCAGCAGAGCAGTATGCCAGTGAGTCAACCTCTTTTTTTTTAGTAGAGTAGAAGTGCTATCGTGATACCTTTTTTGAAG